ACCAAAACATTTTACACAATTTCTTTTATCTCTTCCTATGAGGAGACATTCATTCTGTGTGAGAATTTACATTGAGCTCTTCCTCAAGGTAGTTACTCAATTGTTATAAGGTATGATCCACGGCAGGTGTGGGCTCTTGATGAGTTTTTTCATGTTCCATTTTTTTTTTAGTTTGTTGCTGATCTACTTTTTTCTATAACATTGCTGCATATCAACTTCATGCACATATAAAATACACGTATTCATCTCGACATGATAATTTACACATATTCATTTTTACATAATAAATTGTGTTTGCGATCAGGACCTTGGGATGTTATCCTACACTCCTTTCTCTGCCTTGAGGCCCAGCTCACCATGACCTAAAGTTCTGCCAGTCATGTCTCTTTTTCGCCTCCAAGACAGCCCTTGAACATACACTTCACTCTCTCTATCTTAATGCCCGCCCATCCGTCCCACATGGATAGTAAAGAAACTTTCTTCATGGTATTATTTTTCTCCCTTTCACCTTTTGCTGTAGAACATTGCTTTTTATCTTCTTTATTTTCTTAATTCTGAGTGGACAGAAGGGGAAGAGTGGTCAAGAGTTTTATACCCTAGGGAGATGAGTGGCTGAGATACAGATCCTTGCCTTTCAGACACAAGGGCCAATGCTCGCAGTCAGTGGAAGGGACCAATGTTCATTTGTGTCCTTATGGCTGTTTTCCTATTTTCATGGTAAACAGAAAATGAAGATTCTGAAACAGGAGATTGAGCACTTGTGGGTGGTTTTCTAATTGAGATCTGAAACTAGGGCTTTCAACAGGTAAGAACCAGTTCACAGTTCCATCTTGGACTGGTAAACAAATATATCCCTCCTTGATTAGGACAGCGTGGTCACTTAAGTCCAGGAAGGCTCTGTCGTGCTGTGTCACTCAAGGTCCCTTGTTCATGCCTTGTCTAGTCGGTTAGGGCTTTTACTCTGAAGCTATCTGTACTATCCAGCTACCTCCTGCACAGAGTTGCCTTCTGCTAGTAAGACAATTAATGGTGGACATTTTTTGCCCCTGCTCCTGGGGATTGATCTCTGAGATGCTCGACCACTGAATTATACCTCAGCCCATTTTTGTTTTTAAGACAGGATCTCACTAAGTCACGAAAGTAGCCCATAGTAAAGATGATGGCATTATATCATCTTCAAGATATTTTTACACAATGTTTTATAGGGAGAAATCGAAAATTAAAAAAAAAATGTTCATAAGTTGATTGCAGCATCACGGATATTCAGCCAGATATCTATGCTAAACTCAGGTTCCTCTCATGGGCCAAGTAATGAATTGTTGTGTGTCAAAACTAATATTTGCTACATATGACTCCTGTCTGCTCTATGGTGGGCTCTGTATGTCTCTGCTGCTTCTCTTATCTGGGTTCACAAGCCAACATCAACACATCAGGGTGCCAGCAGCAGGGTTGTGTTCCCTTTTCAAATCTCAAAACCATCCCAATAAAATCGCCCTAGATTCAACAATAACTTTGAACTATTATGAATAACATTTCATTTTAAAAGGATTTTCTTATTACAATTTCATCCATCAAATTTCTAGAAGCTTCCTGAAAAATTAGGGACTCGTCTCTTCTTGAATTTAATATATTGAAATTTTTTAGTACAATGTTGATGCTAGCTCTCAGCTGAGTTCAATAGTAAAGAAAAAGTGGGGTTGGTCAGGGGTGGATACATGTTTTTCTACTACATATATTTTAGTTTCTAAATATTCTCAAATATTTAGATTACAAATGATTTATTATGAATCTTATTACTTTATTTTATAGTTTTTAATTATTATACAATTTTTGCATATTGAATGCATTTCCTTACTAATCCATGATGTGAAAACTACATAATTATATTTCATAATGAATAATGTAAATAAAATTTTAAAATAAAAATTCAATAGTTTAATTTTTTGAATTTAATATAATAACTGTTATTACATGAAATAATTTTACAAAAATGGCAATTAGAATATAACCTAATCTCTATTAGACTATTATTTATTGTAACTTAAATTTTTGTAAACACCTCTTACCTCAAAAATTTCTAAACCCAACTGTCTAACACATTCTCACGACTTTTCAAATTATTTATTCATCACCCTTTTTATTTAATCATTTGAAATCCTTGAAAGTTGTTTTTGTGTATAAAATTAGCAGCTTTCACAATGAGCACTAATTGCTGCATTTTAAACTTGTAAAAAATAATTTTACATCTAAATTGCTACTGAAGGAAATGGTTTTTAGCATGCAAAGCCCATTAGGGGATTTTTCTGAGAAGTTACTGGAAACTTTACCCTTGTTTTGTGGCTGCTTAGCTCTCACCACTAAATCTAAGTGAGGTGCCTTAGAGTTACTTCTGATTTTGACCGTCTCACTGGATGCGATGATGCCAGGTAGGATGCGCAGTCACTCTTCTCAGGCTCAGTGTGAAGGAGAGGCTGGATAGAGAGCAAGGCCAACTTCCAGACTGAACTTGGAATTCCTAGAGCTTTCAGGGCACCAGAAACCACACTCCCTTCTTTAAGTTACAATGAAGTTACCCACAGGACTCACGGAAGAGTCCTGACCAACCTAGGAAAATGGTCAGGCAAGTTAGCTCAAGAAGGCCTGCCAAACCCAGTGCCCATGACTATGTGACATCAGAAACTGTGCTATCCCACGAAGCAACCAAGCCTCCCTGAATCAGCAGCATCTCACCATTACCACTGACCTTGAAAAACTAACTTATGACTCAAAGTCCAAGAACATGTGATTGATAACAGCTTTAGAAGAGCAAGGCTCTTGAATCTAGCTTCTTCACGCAGAGTCTTCTAGAAGCCTTCCTAGAAGACTTCGCTTGGGCGGGGAGGATTCCCCACAAGGCTAACGGGAAATTATTAAGGGGGATTCCATTCATCCATTTATCATCCATTCATTGCCTATTATTAATGAATCTTGTGCTTAATCTCCTAGGAATAGACCAATTAATAAGAAAGACAAGGTCCCTGCCATGATAGAATTAACATCTACATTATTATATCTCACATAGAAAATTTATGAGGAAAACAGTGAAGCAGGATAAGCTTTTCTAAAATGAAACACGAAACTGAGATCTAAACTGGATGGTGGGTAAATGCTCAAAGCATTGGCAAACACGGAGTAGACTCGGTGAAGGAAATTCGGTTGTGAGGCAGCTGCAGGAAGAGCTGCTGGCAATGGAGGCCAAAAGTGGAGGGTGCTGGCACTGGTCCACCCTTGACCCCATTGAAGAATGATGGGAACCCAGTGACTGAGGCCCAGTGAGCAAAAGAGAATATGACTGGAGGTCATCAGGAACCACATTGCTTAGGGGCTGGAAGCCACGGAGAGAACTTTGGATTTTATTTTCATAGCTATAGGGAAAGAATTGCAAAGTTTTAAGCAGGAAAAAAGGTATGATCCGATATTTTCAAGTATTGTTGTCCTGAGTGGCTGTACTTATGACATTCCATGGTACAAATTCAGAAACTGCACCAATGTCAAGAAATACAATAGCTATGCAGCTAGGCACAGGAATGTAAAAAGAAATTATGTAGCAGTTTTCACAAAAATTGAAGTGAATTTAAATAGAAAACTATGTAATATTAATTGAAAAAGAATGTTATCAAATGGTAATTCAAATACACAAGTATGAGAATGACATGCAAAGTAAGAATGTGTTAAAATGGTATGTTTATGTGCAGCTAAAAACTGGCTAGCAATATAAAGTCCTTTCTTTATATACCTATTTCAGGTGTTTTTTAATTTCCTTTGCTAATCACAAGTCTCCGAAACAGTGTATTTTGGGCATGTGCCACATTGAGAAGACTGAATTTTAAGGCATCTTCTTAGCCCATTTTCAACTATTTCCATAGATTGCTCCTGTGACCAGCCAAATCCACTTTTTTTTTTTTTTGATACTGGGGATTGAATTCAGGGGCACTTTGCCACTGACCTACATCCGCAACCCTATTTTGTATTTTATTTAGAGACAGGGTCTCACTGAGTTGCTTATTGCCTTAAATATTTCTGGATTTGAACTCAAGATCCTCCTGTCTCAGCCTCCTGAGCTGCTGGGATTACAGTTATGTGACACCATGCCTCCCAAATTCACTTTTTTTTAGCTATCCTTTGCTAAATGCATCCCTTCTTTTCCAATGGGAGGATATCATCTCTTACTGCAGAATGGAACTTGTTCATTATTGCAGTATCCTATCATCTCAAGCATGACCACAACTAGATCTCTTCAACACGGAACCAACTTCTCAATCCACCCCAAAGCAATTTATCAGACATTTTCTGAGTGTAGACCCTCAGTCTCAGCTGGATTCAAATTCAACCAGCAAATTATTTCTTTCCTTCTACTCAATGACCTCTATTACTGAAAACAATTCTTACACTACAGGATCATTGATAGGAGTCAAGCGGTAGATAATAAAGTGCTTACTTGTAACAGGGCCTAAAACAAAACGAGTAAATCCTAGCAGTTATCCACTCTAGTGCCTTCTGTGTACACATCAAACTTCAGATTTTTCAGTTCAATATGTACTTGTATTTACGAACTACTTCTGGACCCATATCATTATGAATTTGTGGTTACTGATAATCTAAAACTTTCTGAAAAAACAAGTTGAGGGAGGTCACAAATATTGTTTTCCTTTCCCAGATATTCAAAGAAAAGTAGCAGCATCTAAAGATAGTCTTAAGGTCTTTGATTTCAAATCAAACAAAAAATGGATAGCATAAAGTTTTTGGCAAAGTTTCCTAAAAAGTGACAAAATAATATGGACATATTTTCACCTATATAAAAGTATGTAAGTTATTTTGGGGCAATTTAGGTTTTGACTATTGGATTTTTACAAGTTATGATATAAATAACAGTTGGCAAATTCATTTCTCTGAACACTGTCTAGGTCAATGTCTGTCCTTCCGTCATCTGCAGGACTTTTCTTTCCTCTTCACTTTTTCAGGTGCAAACCACACCTTAGGAAACCACCCCCAGAGAGGAGTGGATCTGAGAACTCGCTGTTGGCCATGAGGGAGCAGTCTTCGACCTGAACAACCCCCAGCAAGCTGTTGACTCATCTAGACCACAACAAAGCCAGGATTTTGCAGCTTTAAAAAAATTGAGAATATTCACACTCTTTTTGTTTGTTTGTTTAGCCTGTCATTTCACTCTGCCTAAATACATAACTTAAATTATTTTTTCTATAACTGACATTGCTATTGCCTGTATGTTCTTTCATTGTGTAATATAATTCTAAATTAAGCAAAATATAATTCTAACTTATTTCAAAGTTTGTAAAGATTCACCTACCTTCATTACTGATTCCTGAGATCAGTGCCATGATATGGATGTACTTGAAAAGAAAATAAGAATATGCCAGGTAGATGTGTGTTGTCACATGCATTTAAAGTCCACTCTCAGTCATTCTCTATGATTTATAGGAAAACACTTTTATTGTTCACAATCTTTTTGTTTTTGGTGCTGGAGATTAAACCCAGAGGTAATCTACCACTGAACTACATCCCCATAAGTTTTGTTTTTTTCTTTTGAAGCAGGACTTACTAAGTTGCTCAGGTTGGTCTTGAACTTGTGATCCTCCTGCCTCATCCTCCCAAGTTCTTATCACTCACTTTTGAAATCTGTCAGTAGATTTTTATATAAAAATTAAGTTTTGGACAAATATTGTAGGGATGAAACAATTTGCCAGTCTAGAGACATCTGAGAGAATTATAAAAAAAAATATTGTTTAAACAGTTTGAACCAAAGGACTTTGTGACACAGAAGGAGGGAAAACAGACACTCCCCATGCTGAGACGCAGCCCCCTCGAATTCTTCTCCCAACATTTAAATAATATCTCAAATAGATGCTGTAGCCCTCTGGTCTGTCTGAACTATTAATGGCCATTGTTACTTCCAGGATTTAAAATCCTGTTCAGCCTCACACCGGGTGTTGACCATCCGTCCACTTCAGGCCCTTGCCCTGGCTCACCCAGGGCCCTGGAGAGGAGAAGGCAGGGACCCTGCAGCTCCTGCTGCAGCTTGCCCTGCTCATCCCCCTGTGGTCCTCCCAGAGTCCCACAGGAGGGGAGCAGAGGGGAACTGGGGACCAGAAAGTGCAATGGCTACCATGGGACAGATGCTCCAGTTACAGCCTTAAACTAGGAATAAAAATACACAATCTTTTGAGGAAATAAATGAAAAAAAAATAAGGCAAAAATAATAAAAGCAACAAATTTCAATATGAATCACACATGCATGAGAATGGAATCCATGATGATTAAATGTTCTAAAACAAATTTTTAAAACAGAAGGATGAATTCTGAATGATAAATGTTGCCAAAAAAATGCACAATACAAACACGTGGCAAATGGTTAAAACATTACCCTCTTATTAGTACACTGAAAGCATCAAGGTATAAACAAATGTTGTAAGCTAAAAAGGGAAGATATATACATGCCAAAACACATTATGATCCTATCACTGGGTCAATGAAAAGATATTGATTTAATTTTGACAAAGATAAATTTAGAATTTGTGTTAAAAGTTTAAATTGTGACCACTAAAATAGAAATGTTATATAACCCTCGAACTACTAGAGAAAAAATTAATTCCAGAAAAAAAGGACATTGAAAAAACACAAACTAGAAAAAGAGAGAGAGAACATAAATAATAAAGATGCATAAATCAATTCAAATATATCACTGATCATAGCTAACACAGATTTAGAGAAGGTGGTATTAGATGTCATGATGTTGTCCTTTAATTACCATTAAATCATCATTGTACATAAAAATAGTATGCTAATGCTTGCTGCAGCAGTATGACGACCTCAGTGACAAAATCACATTATTTGTTAAAGTGTTCAGAAACCTGCAATTTGGTTTTAAAGTTTCCAAATTGAATCAAAGATAATTTATAGTATAGCTGGACATAAAAGCCTTCTAAATAAGAAAATCCAGAGTGTGAACTGAATCTAGGTCATTTACATGCGGTAAGGAATAGGTTCATAACTTCAAATGACATTTGCCATTGATGTTATCTAAGTATGTAGTATGACCTATAATCATAAAGAATTCTTGTGTTCTAGTATTGTTTTTTAATTGATTTTTGATTCTGTTGTTCTTTCATTTGGGTACAAATAATGTTCATTGACTTCACATAAACAATTAGGTCATTCCTTTTTCTTGGTTTGAGGCACTGACTCTTAAGAGACATTAGTCCTGTTTCTTCTCCTATTGAAAGCAAGTGACCAACAGTCAGAGTGCTGTTCCTAAGGTTCCCTGACAATTTCTTACATAACTGCACCAAATATCGCCTCCTCTGATGCCCGTCTGTGTCCCACTTTGTCACTCTTCTCTTCCGTATCCATTTATCCCTCAGCAGATTGGTGCCCTCGGTCCAGGCAAAATTGCATTATCCTTCCTTAAAAATCCCCTCCAATTTCCACTACAGATTTTAATATTCTTTTCAGAGAATCAGGTTACAATGTCCAATAGAATTAACAGTTCTAAAAATATCAAATTGTATCTCATCTATTCTTATCCTTGTTAGACTACTCCATCCAGAATGGCTGACTCATCAGAAGTTGAAAGTATGGAAAGAAATGATTACCAGCAAATCGTTACTGGGTGTACATTTAATTATGAAGGAGCACAGAACACAGAGAATCAAGCCTAGGTGCTGACACCGCTCAGGCCTCTAGCTCAGAATGTTCCAGGAGAGTTAGGGTAGATTTGCTGGTGCTGCAATTTGTTATTGCAAGGGACCATGGTGGCCACTGCAAATCTACTTGGCCTCTTCCATCACTCACATACCTCATGGTCAGTGACCCATGACTGTTGAAACTGCTCACAGCTGATGCACAAATACAGTCATGTAGGGCCTAAGGTTTGGGCCAACCATGGACTGAACATGATGGTGATCTGTAAGATTATGATGAAGCTGAACCTCCAACCTCCTGATATTGTAGCCATCTTAACATCATAGCACAAAGCATCAATCATGTGTCAGTGGTATTGCTAGTGCACACAAACCCACTGCACTGCCCTTCATGTAAAAGTCAGCACATTCAATTTTGTGCATGATTTTTGATAAGGATAATAAACCACTGTTGCTATATTAATATATTCATTATATTCTATTTTATTACTATTTTAGAGTGTTTCCTTCTATGTATTAAATGAAGTTTCCTAAAACTCAGTATGTCACATAAAGTCAGCAGCCTCATACATCTTGTGTCTTTGGCCTCTCTTGATTTCATACTGTTCTCTTGTGCTTGATTGAATCTCATGCTCTTTTGTTCATCACGGTCCTAGAAGCCATCCTATGTACCTATGTATATATGTATGTAGAGATGGATAGACAGAGGCATGGACTTTATGTGTAGAGTAGGCCATAACATCTAGGTTTCTACAAGTGAACTCCAAGATGTTCACACAATGAAATCACTAGGGACACACATTTCTCATACTATATACCATATCCCTGCAGTTCAGCCATGCGTGACTCTACTGTCATAACATAACCCATATATTGAAGATTGCTATAAGTAACCAGACTCACAAACACATACACTCTTACTTTTCCACTGCTCAGAAACACACATGGGAAAATGGAGGAACTTTGATTGGGCAAAGTGGAGGGAGGGGTAGGGAGAAGGCACGGGAGCAGGGCAGCTGGTGGAATGGCATGGACATCATTACCTTAGGTACATGCATGACTGAACATATGGTGTGACACTACATCGTGTACAACCAGAGAAATGAAAAGCTGTGCTGCAATTGTGTACAATGAATCAAAATGCATTCTGCTGTTTAATTAGATACCTAATTAAAATTAATTAATTAATAATAAATTAACAAACAAATATTAAAAAAGAAACACAAATACACATTTACACAATTCGAGATTGAAATTAAAATGTGTACGTGGGGGATATCAAGCAAAATTATATGACCAATATTACATCAACAAAAACAAACACTGACCTCTGAGCATGTCCAAGTGAAGTCTGGCATGCTGCTGCTCCACAACATGACACTCTGCAGCAAAAATCTTAGTCCTGCCTTGAAGTTGGTCTTGGCATAGAGGCATAAATGTTGTCATCCTCCCTGAAGCTTTGGTGTGCCGTACCCCTAATTGGGGAAAGGAACTCCAGCATACTTCTTAACTCAGTCCAGTTGAACGTGTTTGCTGGTCCTCAACCCTTAGTCTAGAAAGTATTCAATTTCAGACAGAAGTTTTATTAATGTATGCTTATTAACACCTCTGACAACTTCATAAATAACAATTACAAGTTGAAAAAATTCTACCTTCGACCATGAGAAATGACTAGTTGTTAGAGACGGAAAAACAAGTTTCACTGTTTCAACCAACAGAAGCCTTTCAGTACAGAGGAATTGCAAGCCTCAAACCCAAGAAACATTTTGAAATAAGCATATAATTTTTTATCTGAACAGTATTTTCTTTAAATGTCATTCTTCATTAGCTCAAGCCAAAATAGCTCACTCCCTGAATTGTTTATTTATAGCTTGAGTTTTCCAAATTTGTGTCTATAAAATTAACTCAGTTTTCATTAGGACTAGGAAGCTTAGAGTGTTGAAGGAAAGTTCCACACCGTCAAAAGTTTTTTGTTATCCAAACAACTTGGATGTGTTAAATCATATGTCTGAAAAATAGTTAAAATAATCATATTTTAGGTTTGTTACCATTTTATATCTTTATCTAAGACTTCTCATTTTAGTAATTTGATTTTAAATATAAGGTATGTCTCTAAAAATGTAGAAAAAAAAACATGTGCATGAAAAGAATTATAATCCAGGTGGGCAATGTGCCCTCCTCTCTCACACAGGGGGTTCTGGATACCAAGCCCCTTGCAAGGACCTGGCTGGGGACCAACAAAAGCATGAGAAGTCGGTAGAGCAGTAGAGCCCTGGCACCTCTGGGGTTCCTACCACCCACCCTATTTCCCTCCCCAGAAGAAGGCTCCCATCCCCCTCTCCCAGCTGCTGCTCATCTGCACAATATACCTGTTGGTGGCCAGGGATCCTCAGAGATAACACCACCAAGAATGAGGAATTAGAAGATAATGAACACACGTTACTACATTCTCACCTCTTCCTTCATTTTACCTCCTCTGGTAACTATAAGATGGCCACACCTCCCTGAGAGCCTGTCCCATTCAGATCAAGGTCCTTGCTGGTCTCTGCCA